TGCCATTGGCTGTATTGGCTATTAATTAACATCTGTGTCTAAGGAATATGTCGGCCTTAGTCACTAACAAGACTACAAGATCGCGCCACTCAAACTACACTCATCTCCGTTCATACTTGACTTAAGTTACTTACTTTCGTATGGTCGCCATTTCAAAATAAAGTATTAAAGTAAGTAAAGTGTTTTCGAGATTTTATTTTGATTTTTGTTCAAAGTGCGTTTATACGTACAACCACCTAAATAAAGACCATTAAAACTGTTTTTGTACAAACAAAAGCGAAAGATCAATGTATAAAAAAGAGATCAAACATATAACACCGATACCTTCAACACAAATTGGCAGAGTATACATCGTATGTTTATTAGGCTAACCACTAGTAATAAAAATACACCGAACCAAAATGTCTGTAATATAGCAATAGAATCATCTTAAACTATTGAGAAAAGCATAATATCTTCATTTAATTGTATATCCAGAGGATTAATAAATATGGTAAAATTCTCGGTATTGCCTTTTACTGTATAGTAGACATTCCATCCCCATATATAAGCTGTAGCTATTTTGAGACTGAAGATGACAGTAGTTGAAATGAGTCACCGACAGATTGCGTTGATGTAAATCACAGATTTCTGTTGATAGCATCAAATATTTATGTGGTAAATAAGCAAGTTAAACTGAGAGGTTTTGCTTTCTGTTAACCAATTTTATTTAAAAATCATATCCCCCTATTATATAGTACTAAAAGTAAAAGGAAAATGTAACTATTGTCACTCACTCTGCAATAGAATATCATTAAGCTCCGTTAGTTCAAGATAAAACATTTTATACATTTGGTCCATATAGATGAGATGTATCTAAAAGCCAATAGAAGGACCATGTGTAAGAAAGTGCTGCACTACTCTATTACAATCTGACAGAAGCAATAGCTAGTGTTATCAAACAAAACAAGTTCGCGTAGAAGATTCTTTGTTTAGTAGTAATTTATTTTTGTAGACTACTATAAAGTTCCCTGAGTGGGTTTTATCCCGATTTCTGTGCTTCTTGTTATACTTTAGGTACTTTGCTCACTTGCGAACGGCATCGAATTCCAGATCCCAAAAAATCATGAAAACTGTTTCTTTTATCAACCCTGTGGGTATACATCACAATAATCTCTTAAATAATAAGAAGTGTTGCGAAATCGTTTCCTCACTGGTCTCTGCAATGAACGGAATGCAATGCTTGGCTTGCCGTCGTATTTCGAGTGTAAGGACATTGCTCTGGTTCGGCTCACGACCCAACATCGTACGATCTGAAATTCAGATTCGCTCAATTTACGGGCTGCTACGATATTTAAATCTGTGTTTCTCAAACGGTTTTATTTCTCCGATTTTACTTTCTTATTCTAATTTGATCTTGTAACAATTAGAATTTCAAAATTGCAACTCGGTTGATTTTCAGTTGATAAACTTTTGTGCTGGGTTAATCTTATAGTAGTTTTCAATCCAACAGAACATAGAATCCAGTAGTTTATAGTTCTTACAATTTTGTAAATTGGAGAACATGTATTCATTGTAATTACGATATTCCTGGATTACCCTTACCTAAGGTTAGAAGAAATAATAGTCAGACTAAACACATTATATAATGTCCATGTTAGTAAAATGTAAAAGCAGTTTACAAAGATAGGTGTATTTGGTCAGAATGTATGTAAAGTTTGAAACACAACATTAAATATTAGCAATTATCAAAGCACACAAACTTTACAGGACAATACATAACCTCAAAATTGTCTTTAGTTGCTCCTTAAAAGTAACACATTTCTAATGATTGTTTAATATATTCTGAAACTATCTTTTGTAAGAGGTACAGACGGTATACTATGTCTTATCGCTAATTCTCTGTGTAGACATTTAATCGTATTACCAACTTCTCACAATTAAAGCTCTGTTAACGTAATGAGTTGGTGGACATCGACAAACAATGTGAGGTATTTAGTAACTCTGAGACCCCGCCTAATTGATCTACAGACCCCAGATGTTCTGCTAATTGCACTACCAAGTCCCCACAAGTATGGTGTAACGTGTAACACACTGACTGAGACACTTGTTTGGTTAACTACCACCCACTGCTACACAGTCGCACACCTAACTAGTGTTATCTAGTACACATTACATTGTTGCGCTGGTCTAGTAGTTAGAGAACTGAACTGCCACAAGGTTCTAATCCAGTGAATCCTAATGGATTTTAATGGCTAATCACAATGCAGTGACATGGTGACTATAGTAGGTTGTGAGTGTACACCTAAATCCTGATGATTTTGATACCCCAAGTAAGGAGAAGTTTCTCTAAATTTGAGGATGGTCTCCAACTGGAACTCTCCCATATGTACAGTCAACAGCAATCAGATGGTCGTTCGTTTGATCCTGGCAAAAGTAATCAGCTTTTTGATAGTTGGAAACTACAGTAGTCTAAGTTGTTGAGTAGGGCTTTTAATAAAAGGTCTTGGCCAGACCAGCTGATTTTAGTCAGTGACAAAGCGGTATCATTTGTGCAATACTCATTCTTCACTCGCCTCCGCATTACAAATACGATGATAAAAATAAAACCAACAAAATACTATGCAATAAAATAATATTAAACAGTATTCCAAACTGACAACTAGCTTCACCCAGGCATCTTCTGGTGGATCGGTTCATCTTCATTCGATTAAAGTGATTTATTGTGGTTGGGAAACAGCTGAAAATATAATGAAGGACGTGATTGTGAAAGAAATAAATCACCTCTGAAATTGGAACTACTGGAAGCATGTCATGAGAGGAGTTGTATTATTTTGGATAACAAGTTTTAAATTGCGCAATAAACACGTTAACTGGTTTCAGATTCCATTCAACGGAACACAGAAGACAGATGCACATATACAAGGAATATAATACTATGTTTTATAATTAATTGTTTGTACTAAAAATTTGGCTTGTATGTTATATGTGTAGAATGAATAAGGTTTACTTACATAAATAAAATTAGTTAAATCAACAGTGTTTTCTTTTACATGCTATGCAATAGAATAAGCACACGCCCTTATAATTAAAACAATTTGTTCTTAAATTTAAATTTATTTGTGAACTGGCATTTGTTCACTCATGTTATACTTAATGAGTAAAGCACTAATTGTAAATTTCAAAACCACCTGTATAATATAGATAGGCTACGTATATTTGTGGACATAAGCATGATTTTTAATAGAATTGATTTTATTTTACAGTAGTTTTCTATTAAAAGTTGGACAATTTTAACTAGAATGATCAATTTCAAATAACTCAATACTTATAATTTGTTGCTTATGTTTATAGTTTCAATTTATATTTAGATACAACGGCTCATGCACGTTTTCCAGTTTGAGTATAGTTATGTTGTAGGCTGAAATGCTATATAAAATTATATTTATATTAGCTTGGTAAAAAAAGAATTTATCGATAAAAAGTTGCCCTGAAATTCGGATCACAGTTAAAAGAAACACTTAACATGAAAACTCGGTATTGTAAATACAATGTTTAAATGACGTCATAAAAATCAATTAAGTAATTGTGACTTTCCACGTCGACGTTTAAGACTCCATTAGCCATCATGACGACTTGAGATAAAACAACAGATTAAAAAAGCTTTCAATACAAAATGTTTGAGAAGAACTGTCTACTTGGATTAGCATAATAGTAGTTGGGAATGTTACAAGGCTATATATTTGCACCATCACTTTCTCACACCACCAAAACCCCTTCAAAAATAATTAATAACACTATTAAAAGTTGGGAAAAGAGTTTACATTGACAGACGAAATAAAATAATTTTTGGTAATTGTTTATGTACTTTCATTTTGGTTTAAGAAAACATAAAGAGTAATTGCAATCATTTGTTTGTTTTAAATAATATCAAAATTTGACACCATTAGACTTATACTGTATGATGAATACTGATGACTGTATGATGATGTTGTATACTGACTGTATTTTCATAGTAAGAATCAAACGAAGTTATTATTATAAAAAAACAATATACATTTACATCAATTGTTCGTTACTTTAACCATTGACTATATATACCTACCTGTAGATATATGTAGTCAATGCTTTAACATTAATTCATGTCAACATCAGTAACGTTTGCAAAGACACCTTTAAACACAGTTATGCTACACAATTACATAAACGATAACAATTAATTAAAATTGTATAACTCGGTTTGTTTATTACCTTATCATTCCTTTTACATGGGATCCACATTCCCTACACAACTTTTTTATGTAAACAAATAAATAAGATTTGTGGAAATACATGATTTGATTTGGTATATCAAACCATCAGTTTCAAATTGGGTTTTCATAAAACAACTGCAATACTCATTAATATCATTATACTTTTGGTAGTAGGCGCCTTATCAGAATGCTAGATGAGTGTGGAATTGAATAACTTGGTAGCCTTCTTACGGTCCAAGATTAGCCAGCCTTAGCTATATCCAAGATAAAACACCTGGACCCGGTTAAGAACCAATAAAAGCCCACCTTTGTAAGGACCGAACTTGAAAGCGTCTGATTTTCAGTCGATTACTATACCCATTTAACTACCAAGACACTGTAAACTCATTCCAATTCCAATGCATAAAATTTGTCTATGCAGAGTAAAAATTCTCTTGACAATTTAAATTTTTTTATGCAAACGAATTTATTAATTGGAAATAAACAATTTACAATCCACAATAAGCGTTTCAGACTCATACTTGTGGTACCGACGTCTCAGACCGGTATGGATCCCCGACGACCTTGATATGATCATGGTGACACGAATGGAAGATAAACGGAGCAATCTACGATCCTTGGAACAGTAACAATACTGGAGCTTCCCATCTTCTGGGGGGGCGGGGGGGGGGCAAGGGAGGGGGTAGTGAAGGTACCGTCCCCCCTGACGTCACGGGGGAGGCAGGGAATTGTTATCAGTCAGTTGTATATAAGCGACCTCTTGCTATCAGTTCATCATAGGCACACCCACCCCACGACATGGCCAAGGTAGGACTGTCTGCAGTAGTGTCAATTATTATAAAACTATATGATTTAGTTGATTTGGTTAAGCATTTTTATAAGGAATACTATTTTAAATTTATAACTTTCAGTTGCATTGTATTAATCAAAATTTAATAATTTTTACCTCGTTGCCAAAAATACGTCAATGTTATAAATGTATATTTATCGTTCTCCTCTTGAATTTTCTTAATTATTAATTTAATTGGATGCATTTTTTACCACCTTTAAAAAATCTTGATACGTTCCTTATAAGTTTTATAAGCATCTCATTACTTTATATTTAGAAAAAATACTAAATTAAGAATCATTGAGTATACACTATACCTACTAACAAAGACTCATAAAATATATTGGAATCGACTATAATAAGACTTAATCAAACGCATGACTTTTAATTTGTACCCTATTAAATATTAATGCAAATGGAGTAATTCATTTTCGTATAAATTAATATAAGGAGTAAATTTAATGCTGTAAATGTCTATAAATTACACATAATATATTAAACAAAATATTGGGTTTCCTTGCGTACAAGCCATGATCACAAAAGATGGTAGATTTTGATTAATAGTTGTTATAAGTAGATGGTTTTTTTACAAAATATCATTTTCAAAAAGAAACTTCGGTTGAGTTTGATATCTTTACTAACCACGTTGCTTAGGTTGGAAAGCAACTAGCAGATGTTTAGGGTTGTTAAACATAAATGAATGTGTCAGCCCCATTTTAAATAATCTCCAATTTGATAAGTTGTATTTTTACAAGCTTATAATATTAAACTTAACTTTCGTACTACACATGTCTATATTTTTTAACAGTTTGAGGACTACGTAAAATTAAATACATAATTTGTTGCCATTGAGAATCAAACTGAGTAGTTTTTATAGTTAATGACTTGAACATTCGTCAATTTAAATAATTTAATTTGTTATGAAGCTACTATAATTAATTAAACACCCTTTATTTTCATAGCAATTTAAACCTCAAACGATGATTCTGGAATTCGCTACAGCCAATTAGGCTTTATTAACTAATGTTCATGAAACTATTCAACTTTTTTTGTAATAGTGTAATGTAATGATAATGTAAAAACCAGATTTTATGAATTAAATCGGAAATATAATTCAACTTAAACATCTTTTTGTTGTAAAAGCTACAAAAAATAGAAACATGAGAAAAATCTTCATGTTTGATTAAACGAATTTTGTAAATATCCAAGTTAAGGTTAATTTACACACTTACCTTGATGGGCAAAATGCTGTAATATTTCGCATGATAAAAATATTTATAACTCAAATTGCCCCAATATTAAAACTGACCATATTCAAATAGTTTAATGTTACGCAAATTAATATAAAAAACTTTGATTTCCTTTGTGTTTTTCAAGACATTGACCCATATCGGTTTTTATTTTATTCATCTCAATTATGTGTACTACTAATTAAACACGATGACGATGTTGTATATTGCTAAATTGAGGGATAACAGAGTTTAATTGGTTTTGTCTTCAATATTCTTGAGATCAGATAACATATTTTTCACAACCAACAGATTGTAACCATCAATAATCACATTTTAAACTTCCCTAATTGAAGATATAAGTTGAACTACTAAAACACGCCTATCACGGTTATGAAATCCATGCAAAATAAATGGGAAAAAAAAACTTATATGAAGAGGAAATAAAATTCATCTTAACTAAAAGATTGTGCATTCAAAATATGAACATACGCAAACTAATAGTTCGTGACACAATGATTGGTTACCAAAATGTTAAAATAGTTCCCAAATGTAATAATATTTAACACTTCGCGTGCGTGTATAATCATACTGTTATTACTGAGTTGTTTGTATAATACCATTTTACTTCATCTCAGATTAATAATCCAATACTTTTAGACATATTTTTACGCATTGAACTCATTTGACACAGAACCATTCGAATAACAAAATACAGAACAGAATTACAAAAAGAAAGAAACGTTTGCACATTTTTTAAAATAGACAACGCAAGCTTAATATTGTTTGATGAATTGGGTAGTTTGTCATTTCTCATTTGAAAGGGTTTACTGGTGGCTGGATGTAAATATAAAGTCGTAAGCTTCAATTTGTAAACATCTTTTGATTAACCCCCAGGCCTCGTAGCGAGGTATTGTATAACAACTTTGAACATAGTGCTTCGTAATAGTCCATAATTATAGTTTGCGGGGTAAAACTAAATATATTATCTGTGACATTTAAAATGTATATAAAATGTTGAGGAAAAGAATATTTATATTTATGTAACGATAAAGTATTAAAAAGAGGAAATAAAATGTTCTAAAGTCAGTAGTATTATTTTTGTATTCTAATTACTGAATGTAATAATTGATAAATTCATTTTTTTTCATTTTTTCCCTAAGCTTTGTTAAGAAATATACGTATGCCACATCGTGGTTAAAAAAACATTTTCCTTTGAAGACCATTAAGAATCGTTGTTTTTCATACTCAAGACTATCACCAATAATATATATCAAAAGTATGTCTTTCTCATAATAGGGAGGTCGGTGTTAATTTATCCATCAGTTGTTTTTGTTACACTCCACGCACGAAAAACATTGCATACCTTACAAAAACGATCAGCAATGTTGTTTGGTTGATAATTTAATGTTAGAATGTGCAATTACATCAGAAACAAAGCCATAGTACTGTCAACCAGTGTGTACTTCAAAACGAGGATTCTAGTTCCCTCATAAAAACCAAGCCTACTAATTGTATTGTTGAAGAACAGTGCCAATGCCACTGCAATAACTCTATGGTGCTCATTGTGGTTGTACAGTTTTGTGGTTATAATGTCGGTGAATTATGGACTCTAGACTAGAATAAGATGCATTATATAAAGAACAAACCTGATTCATTTAAGGGTTACAAGTGCTCTGGAATTTGTTAGGAAGATAGTAAGATGAAAAGTGAAAAATCTTGAACATTGTTTGAAAAAAATCGTAAGAAATTGCTCTTAAATTAAAAAAAATTAACATATAACTATACTAATATTGCGTAATCTCTACTACAAAGATATCTTAATTCAATTATTCTTGATTCAAAGATTCTATTGGTCCTTCTTTTAGGTGGTTAGAGTATGGTGGGTGGTTTTGGATGTTGTCGTCTCTTTACACTTGAAACAGGGACATTTAGTATATATTTAACTAACTATCCCAAATTAATTAATTTTATCTGTAGCCCAAAAGTTTGAATTGCGTGGTCTTAAATATCCAACGGTTTAAGCTAGTTTGTCAGGATTGAATTCAGATTTATAAGGAGAATAATTTGTATAAATAGTACAGCTTCACTCTACACAAATTAGTTGCAAGGCTATATTAAGTAGGATTGACCAAATTATTTTACGAAATTTGTCTCCCATGCAAGCCTCAAGCCTTATAATTATTATTTTTTTGTTTTTATTTTGTGTGTTTTTACGCACTTTTTACGTTTTGAAAGAGAACGGTCCTAACCCTCGTCTTGTTACTATAACGTCGACCTTTTTGTTAGATAGCATCAATGTCATTGGCATCTGGGTCTATTGATGCCCGAAACAATCCACTAGAAATCCAGTGCCGTTGCTTGTAATCATGTTGGTTATTATTTTATGTAATCCTTCAGGAAGATTCATTTTTTGATGCAAAGTGCCCATATATGATATATACATTTAGGCGATCCTTTTATTATTTGTAAAAAAATCAAATTTTTTATAAAATAATTCGTTAATTTATAATATATACTTGCTTTGGCTCCCTTAGTAAATCCCTATAGATTTTGAACACATCTTTTTGTAATAAAGGGTCCAATGCTATAAACTATATAGGAATTTAGCAAATATATTTATTCATAGGCTTTATTAAATACAAACTGTCTGTTCTCATCACGCAATTCGTTCAGGAGTTTCTTTCGACTGATTCTCAAAAACATTCTTGTTTCGTCCAACGTCCGGCAGCCAGAACTAGACCACCCGCTCACTGATATAATCGTGGAGGCGCGACGCATCAGCGTGAGTAATCGCACTAAACAATCGTCCGTGAGCATTGTGCAACGGACGTATGTGAGAAGAGGAAGAGAAGGGGTGGATCAGAGGTGCAGGTGTGACGCAACAGTTCAACACTCAAGTGCGTTACGTATCTGTAACGGCCCGGGAGCTCCGCCTGTAGCAGCAGGGTCACTGTGGACACGACAGCTCAATCAGTTGTTGGATAACCGGACACTGGGGACAAGGGCAGCGCCATCGGTACGTCCGCGCGTTCAAGTCTCCCGTACTAGTTTCCGGGGCATGCGCCGAGTCCTGTGTTTTGGACCGTGGAATTAAGTAGGCATTTAACTCTCATGTAAAAATGTAGCAATGACTTTGAATGGTAGAAGTATACGTTCACTATAAAGTTTGAAACCTGTTTTTAGCGTGTCTTACTTCGGTTCACTTTTAATAAATGATTCTCCTATATTTTGGATCAGAATTTATGATTTTTTCTAAGGATTGGTTACAACAGAGGGCTATTGTCTATAGTTATGTCGTTATATGCTAGGTCGTTATATGCAACTAAAATAGTTTTAGTAGATAAAAACATTGAGAAACATTAAACGGCGTCTCTAGTTAAACCGGGCGGAATTTACCTTACATTGTTTTCAGCTGATATTTATTAATGATGAAAATTAAATGTTTAAGGAATCCATGCTTACAGCCAGTACTAGCAGTTCTAGCAACCTAAAGTGGTAGAATTTTTACAGTAACCATAATTTTTAATAAAGAATACAGTAAGTTTCAAATTTTAATAATTTGTTTACAGCATTTAATTTTGTATATAACTCGGTAGAAATTAGTTTGGTAGTATTATGAGTATTTTTTTGCAATAAAATGACAAAAAACAAGTTTTATCTCAGTGTTTGATTAAAAGTGCCAGTTCTGCGAGGAGCTGAAAACTTATTCTTTTTCTCGCAGGTACTCACCACAGTTGCTTTACATTCCTAGATAAAAACTAAATGAAAGCTGTTTTGATAGAAACATTAGAATTTCGTTTTTCTGAAACACAAGACGTTTGGTTTGGGGAACTTAAAACTTCACTTGTGTAATAAATTTCTTATGCAACTAATAATATATTTACCATTCTTTTACATTTATGTCCACGTGTTTCAGGTACTTCTAGTGATAGCTTCCCTGACAGCCGTGACGCTGGCTCGACCAGAACCTCCGGTAAACAACCAGTATCTCCCCCCTGGCCTCCAGACAGAAGCGTCATTCGGAGGTTCACCCAGCAGTCAGTACGGCGCTCCCTCAAGTCAATATGGTGCTCCCTCTAGCAATTTCGGTGCTCCCTCCAGCCAGTATGGCGCTCCCTCCGGCGGTTTCGGCGGTGGAAGACCTTCCAGCTCCTATGGTGCTCCCAGGCCCTCCAGGCCTTCCAACCAATACGGAGCTCCTAACTCCTTCGGTGGTTCCAGCTCTTTCGGAGGCCCATCTAGCTCATATGGGGCTCCCTCTAGCTCCTATGGAGCGCCCTCTAGCCAATATGGCGCTCCCGGAGGTGGTTATGGAGGCAACAAAGGAGGATATGATGAGGGCCCTTCAGTAAGTATGATTGTTTTAACAACATTTTTTGAAACATTGAACCTTAAAATTATTTTAAAGATTATTTCTTAAATGCTTACAATACACCAGTTGTCAATTTACAGAGAATCATGTAGGGCAGTGCTATGTGTTCAGTATGAGTTAAATTGGGTCCAACACCAATGTACATGAATTTTATACCAGACGATTTTCTTGCCTTCATCTGCTAGCTTGAAAATGGATATAGATAGTGCTTGCCTGGTCAGAATATCGCCGGTTCGATCATACAAGGTGCAAGTGGTTTTTTAAGGTTCGAAAATCGAACAGTGATCTCTGATTATCGGGCTTTCAATTGATATAGGTTTATTTTAGGTAGTAACAACACCATCACATCATTAATTCAACACCCATCACACTCCGCTCGCCTCACAACCTTAAACTACACACTATGGTTTGAAAGAGCTTCGAATACAGTTGCTCTAATCTTAAAAAAGGAATAGCCTATCTTTTATATCACTTGTTCTTTATTTGTTTTGGGCTCTTTAAGAGATGTCAAAGTCATCACAATGCGACCCTTTTTCTCATTCAACATACTAGTTTAAACATTTGTAAAGACCAGTAGGCGTACTTATACACAATTTTTATCACAGCCTACCACTTTCCATTTAAAAGACAATATAGTAAAAATAAGAGTAGTTGAGTAGTTTTTGTGAGCTCATCCTCTGTTGGGGAGGTCTTTCCACTAAAGTCCATTCAATATTTTACATTTTCGAATAAAATCATAGAGATGTGTGTAAACAACTGTATCTATGTATCTATCTGTATCTGTGTAGTATTCTCGTTACCTTTTTTATTCTTGTCTAGGAGCCAGCCAACTACGAGTTCCGCTACGACGTGGACGCTCCGGAGTACAACGTCAAGTTCGGTCACCAGGAGGCAAGGCAGGGTGACGTAGCTCAGGGCAAATACTACGTGCTGCTACCTGACGGCCGTACCCAGCTGGTAGAGTACACCGCGGACCAGGACGGCTACCATCCCAAGATCACGTACGAGGGCACAGCCAACAACGGCGGCGGCTACGGCAGAGGACCCTCTGGCAACGGAGGATACCAGTACTAGAACCAGCCTCGCAGCTGTAACGGATACGCTTCACCATGTTTACCATCTGGCCCCTGTGGCTACCAGTCTGTACATAGTATTTTTGTATTTTTATAAATAAATATTTTGTGTAAATTTTGACTATTGGCTTCTTCCTATACTATATACAACTAGTTAAAGGATTTGTTATTGCTTGATTATTACCACTGACTATCGATCTTGGCAATGATCTAAATGCATTGAAGTTCTATTACAGTACATAGTAGACGTAATATTTATTTTATTATAGATACTGTATATGCTGTATGTTTTTAATACTTTTCATAAATAGTAGATATTTTAAGCAAAGTATGAATGGAGAAGAGTGTAGGATGAGTGACGCGATCTTGTAGTCTTGTTAATGACTAAGCCGACATATTTCTTGGACACAGCTGTTAATTAATAGCCCATACAGCTAATGACAACTAAAAGGACCTACAGTTTATAGTGGAATCCGAACCACATTTTTGCCTTGGTATTAACGAATCGGTTAATTATCAGGATAGCACTGTGCATAGTATGAGAATCGATTACCACATTAATTGTAATAAGTTTGTAGTAAGAAATATAAAGAGCTAAATAAATTTAAGAATCGCCGCTTTCAAGGGTTACGGACAAAAAAGTGCCTTTAAAACGTCTTCGTTTTTATAACAATAATAGCACTTCAGTGGAGTATCTAACCACTCTACCTTAACCTCTTAAAAATGTATCCATAGCAATTTAGCATTGGCAACTCCTAATACAATATATGGTGGCTTGTTTTGTCTTTATTTCTTTAAAATTTCAATAAATCACCAGCAATTTATATAATTAAGTTTAGGGGCTCCAAACTGATTATGTATACTATTCTTGCTTTGAGACGCAGATGAGCTGTTGTGATCGACCTAGAAAACCCCCTGAATGCATTGATTTTTTCCACTACATCTTCTGGCCAGCGAACAGGGTCAATTATTAATAAGTGTTCATTAATTGCATTTACAACAATTTTTATAAAACGGCAAACTGTCACTTTCGACAAGCAGTACATATCCGCTTTGGTAAACCACTACCAAACCAATGAAGTGTAATTTGTAATTGTTCTTTAGGTGTTAATGCATGGTTCCTATTCGTTGGGCGCTGTAACACAGACTCAATTGTATTCACAATAATATTGACGTTTTTATAACTTAACCTTTCATTAAACTCGTTAGTTTCTTGAATTTGAAACAAGCCTGATATTATCCTGATCTTATTACCATCCAATGTCCGAACATCGATTGAACAGAACATATAATAATTTTATTTTGTTTAAAACAACGCATTTTTTTAGTTACCTTGGAAAAGAGAATATTCAGGTTTTAAGAAATTTACACTTTATTCATCAACAAATCAAGTATTCATTAGAAGTCCCTCCGAGATGACAATCGTATACATTCAATTACTTGAATACATCAGTTTTTGACTAAGTTGTGATAATACCAAACTGATCGACTTCATATTCACCGGAATTAATGTATTCAGAAATACCAATTGCAGAAACTATTTCTATGCAAAGCTGATCCAAATAAAACTGCTTATAATAACAGTGTATGGCTTTATGGAACCAATCTTATGAATTAAAGTTAAAACCAAATTGAACATCAATTATCCATTTTAATAACCCAGATTCGCATAAGTTCAATATAACTCTTAAACTTGCATTTAAAGAGGTGTAAATTTTACAGTGCCTACGTAAAAAGATTCTTGATTACGACGAAACAAGGTTTGCTATGTTCTTTTATAAGTTTGGACGATTAGCTTAAAAATACAAAACAAAATAACTATTCAGGAAGATGTGGCTTGGAAACTGACAACAAGTCATTAAATACCAAGCCATCAATAAATATCATCGGCGTCGTTTCTACCAAATGATACTACACAATAACGTTTTTGACATCCATATAATATTAGCAAATGTGACTAGAGTGACTGACTTTTGGTGTTCAAAGTACAAGACCTGATTTCTGGAAGTCCGGGAACAAATCCCACAAATGACCAATGACTTTTGTGTATTAGATTAGACCATGCTGTGATTGGTGGCTTAGAGGCCTTCAAGCTAAAAAGAAAACAAAAAAAATATATTCTTCTGGAGGAGTACGTTCCGTTTATTTGAGAAACCTACCACTAAAACTCATACGATAAATAATACAACTTTTTCTCCAGAACCCTAGTGATCGGTTTATTCATTTATTGGTTAATCTTTATTTGGGTTGCGAAGCAGCTGAACTATACACATAATCTGTGTATAATTAATGATATAATGAAGCTTAAACGTATGCACCATACGTTAAACAAACCAACAATTTCCACGAATAATCAAGATAAAAACTATTGAAGAAACACAATACCTAGTTAAATGTTAGAGAAACTCACGCAAATAACAGATACTTTTATTGGATAAAAATAGGATAAAGATACACGACTTAGCCTTGTTTAGGACTCCTAAATGTTCCCGTACATTACCAGCAAGACGATCACTGCACTTCTGTTGCATTGAAGAGATTAAGACATTAGTGTAAAGTAGAATCATTAGGCGATGAAGACTCGTAAATTGAGGAAAATTAGTCAACAGAAACCTCGGCTGCGGCTAGTTCTCTCCAGCTACTGTGTTCCCACATTCAGAAGGCCGATGTGGGTCTGAGGCTATTAGTTATACATATTTACAGGGTGTTCCATAAACATAGTACCGATTTCTAGTAAATTAATTATTTTTATGAGTGAGAATAAAGAGAAAATCAAGAATAAAATTAATTTCCAAATTCATTTGTGTAGCATATACACGATTTTCTATTTTACAATTTTCAATACTTAACAGATTTGGTATTGATGTTAAAATCGTAGAGTACAATTTAAATAAATATATTACAGTTTATCTAATAAAAAATACCTTAATTTTAATTTCAAACCATTTATAGAAATAAAAAAAGGGTTTCATATATATATAATTTCTAAACATTTACTTAAACAAATATTTACGATTACTGCACCCTGGTAAGTTGCGTTTTTAACACAGTTTTACGTATAATTAATTTGTATAATCAATTATATTTTATAACTAGATCTGAACAAATAACCGAAGCCTCTACTCCTTCAGTTCACAAATGCATCTTCCTATCATGAACTTCGTGCGTGTTGCAGGGAGAGAAGACCAAAGGAGCAATCACATTCCCAGCTTAGTGTTATGCATCTCAGCTGTGAAACAAATCTCTATACGTAGGCCTACTCTACATACACAACATACTACTTTAGAAGTACCTGGGGACCGAGTGTAGTTTATTTCCATTATATAAGCAATATAAAGGAAACTCACGTTCTATTTGTAACTAATTTAGGCTTTTATTATTTAGGTTTCAGCGGAAACAGCTGATTGCAAATTTTTGTTAAGATTCTAACCTACATGATAAATAAATATGATATTAGTAACATTTATTTAATTGCTAAATCAAAGTTTAAAGATTACCTCAGTACTTCGGGGATTAAGTTTTGGTAGAAGAGAGTCAAGTAAAATAATCAGTATTTGATCGGAACTATTTTCACCTATATCGATTAATCTTCAGTGTAATCTTTGCTCAATAGTAACACCTGATGTTTTTTTCCTTTGTACTGTATTTTGTAATTTGCTAGTTTACTGGATGGCTTGTTATAAAGACATGCTACAAGTATTTTTGTTTACTTTTTCTTTGTTATTTCGTTTAACTAACAAGGTTAGTTGGCAGCTTGAATGTCCGATGTAAAAAAAAATTACTTAAAATTTCATTATTTTTAAGCAATTACGTTTTTTTGGTAGTTTTAACTGCACACGTTTTAAGGCCAGAAAAATTATTTACATCATTTGAAGGAAATCTTATTCGAATCAGTTTTCGAGATGTTTGTGCAAGCCTACAAGCATACAAACATACAAGCAAACATTTCTCATATAAGAGTATAGGATGAAATTAATTTTGCACAGCGTTTGGTTTACAAGTTCTGGTTTAGCTTCAAATAAAAACTATTGCTACTGTATTAAATTTTGAAAATAAAAAGGGCACTTTTTAAACACAAGAAGTTTCCATGATCTAAACGAATTAGACTTATTGTTCGTCTAACATATCAATACATAAATGTAAAATATCAATTGATTGATTGCTAACACATTTTTTAAGGCATGAGAAATAATATTTCCTTTGCAGTGATGAATGTGAATTTTCCTATTACTCGACGGAGTTAAGCCTTCGACTTACATAGACGTCTCCTTGCTTGGGAGGCTATGTGACGGCCAGCGTCATGTCAGGTCTAACAATATACTACAGTTATTTTCAATTTACTTTAAATTGGAACACATATGATGAAAATCTTCTCGTAGTTTATTGTTGCCATTTACACAAAAAAGTCGTTAGTAGGTTTTGTTGTTACAATTGAACTTTGAAAGAATCCTCCCATCACGGCAAACTAGATGATTCGTCCACATTTTTATTTTAACTGGACCTTTTCTTTATATGGCATATCCCACCAAGATTTGCCATAGATAATATGTTGCTCACCAGACCTGAATAAGAGGGATTCTAACAGTCAACCTTTATGTCAGATTTAACTTTTAGCCTTGTTTTTTAATCATGCCAGCTTTAAATAAATGATCCTGGCTAATGAAACAGCTGATCATAGTCAGAAACAAAGCTACACAGATCATCTCACACCATTCTACACTCATCCTTCACTCATATTTGGGTTAAAATACGCACCTAGGTGGCGTCCTCCTATCAATGATTGATAATTGATAATTGACAATTGAAAATTATCCATTACCAATGGCAACCCTCGCATTAATAGTAGTACTTAATGTTGCTCTTGATGTCCGATCAATTGCTATTTGGGACTAACATCCTCCGTGGTAGATTGCACCATGGACAAAAAGAATAATTCTTTTTGTCTATGATTGCACCTTCTACTGCTACATAGGCGATTCCAGCCAATAGGTTTCGACGTGATGCATTTATAATCAATGCTAAATGGCCGGGATTACAAGAGCTGAGATCACGGTTGGCAACCCTGTTGTTAGAAACTCCTTGCACAATTATCAAGTGGACATCGATGACGGCTGAGGTAATCTGGAGTGTTGGTACTCCCTTATATACAGGTCAGGAAACTCCATCTTAGTCAGTCAGGACACCATGAACAAGGTAGGACATTGTACTTTTGTAATGTTAAGCGATAATATCGATGTTAATAAACTTAAAAGTTATTGAATTTTTTTACATTTTTGTAAAAAAAGATTTGTCTTGTTATACCGATACCTAAAGTCAAACTTATGTTAGATAGCATAACACGGCATCTCGGTAGATAATCTATTTGGTTATTTTATTCTGGACATAAACCAGTGACTCTCAGATTTAAAGGTGATCACTATAAACACTTGATTAAACATAATCACTGCACGAACCTTAATTTTTTCCTTTGTGTCCAACTAATTTCCCGTGTATTAATGATTTTGTTAATTTGATTTAGAGTTGGGCACTTAAAGTTTCACTGGAAAACTCCTAAAAATATAATATTTTATTTAGCTTATAATCATCTACTACGATTTTGAATTTTGACATCAAGGTAGACAGGGACGATAAAACACAAAATACAAAAATACAATAATTCATACAGAAAAATATAAGAATACAGGTTTTGTTTTACTATTAATTTATTTATTTTATAATTTAATCAATACAAGGCCTTAATGCTGTGTAAATTAAGCATAACCCGTATATAGGTAAAGTATACGGTGTATAATCATTACTTCATGGTTTAATTTATTATCTTTGAAACCATTACTTTATTAGAAACCAATGTATCGATGAACAATTTATAGATATCCGTTGCAAGTGTAATCAACTGGCTATGTTTGACTTAATCGTACTTATATCTATCAATTTTTAACACTATATTCAATTCTAACATTCAATTCTGTAATTCATTTGAATAACAACATCCACAGATGTAACTAATGGACTGATAATAACTAATTTAATTTAATGTGACTAATATAAAATAACAACTTAATAATGTGTTGAACACAAAAACAGGTTATAAAACTTCTGGTAATATCAAGCATAGCTTGCTAAGCATAGCGAGAAACCCGTAATCTTTTACATTGACATTAATAAAGTAAAACAATTCTGCAATCAGTAAAAGCCTATCAATGGACAACTTTTATAAATAAATTCCATGTTCGTAAAAATAACGTTAATTTAAATCCATTTTTGTTAAAAAGAGTGCAAATAAATTGAGTAAACGTTGGACCAATAAGTATTAAAAGACTTCCCTAAATAAAACAATTTGTAGCCTCATGTTTACAAACGTGCAACTCAACACATTACCTAAATAACCTTCAACCACAGTCAAGGTCATTCTTATAGGTTTAGGTTCATTGACCCTTAGATGCATGTCCTTCAACTAGTAATTATCAACAACTGTCCATTTATGACTAATACAATTTTGTATTTAAATCTGTAATATTTGTTCAACTAGGAATCATATACGATATTCGACAAATGTTGCTGGAGTAACTTAACTGTGCAATATTTACAGTTGTATCCCTAGAAATTAATTAGGCAAGAGAAAATACTGGACTTGTATTTGCAAAGACTTTTAAAATGCTGTAAAGAGATTTTAAAGATGTTGTATATCAACTTAAATCATTACACCACTGATAGTAATCTATCTTTACTATTATTTTTTTCAATTTTAAACCATGTGAATGATGAAATAATTATTACTTATCTAAGTAAGTTACAATTAATTCTAGTCAGTAAAATCATTCTGTGTATAGTCAATAAGTAAAATAGTAAAATTCAACATAAAATATTTGGCTAACATGTTATACAAGTTTATTTTTCTATAGTGGCAATCATCATCAGTCATATATTTAGCTAAAATTTAAACACTCACTTATTCATAAAAAATACATGTATATTCTACAAAAAATATACAAAAATGCTGCTGAACCATAATTTTGGTAATTCCTCTTAAATTATATTTTAATGCACTGAAACAGGGCACGGTTCAAGTATTTTAAAGCATAGTATAAACTACATATTGTTGGTAAATGTTAAATAAGTTTTGTACATATTTTGCAGACAATCCTCCCCCTTTTCCTCCTGGTCGCGGTTGTCTGCGGAGCTCCCCAAGGTTATTCATATTCCAGCCCTGGACATCCTCCTGGGCGACCAACGTTTGGGCAAGGGTCAGGCCAGTATCCGCACAGACCTTCTAACAGCTTCGGCAGCGGGGGGTACGACGACAACGAATATTCTGTAGGTATCCAAAGAAAAAGATCTTCAGTGACAATTAGCTATGCTACTCAAAGAATTATCGCGGACTTTTCCGATTAAGATTTTTTCAAATCTTGGAATTTGATCCTGTACTCAAATGGAAAGTAGGGGCACCTAAAAAATTACATATGTAGTCAATCTCACAAACTTAGTCAAAACTGTAAAAATCTGAAAGTAAAACTCTTACATAAACTTGAAAGATTATGAGTATTTAGCTATAAATAAAGTTATTAATATATATTCCATTCCCGCATTGAAGTCGTAACAAGGTTTAAATAAAGTAGTTGAATTGTGCCACTAAAAGAGAGCTCTGATGTATATTACATTCTGTTTAGTTCGCCAACGATGTAAAATAATAGGAAAGGGTATGTTGTTATACTTATACTAATAATACTCATTGGGTAAAGTATAATATATTTTGTGTAACTTACCTATAATAATATCGAACGCTATCGGGAAAACTTGAATGAGATAAAATACTCAATGAGATACACAACACACGCGTGCGTCATTAAACACGCACTTTTTCATGAGGAAATTCTAACAACTATTCCATAATAGATAGGATGCCTACTTTAGTATCAAATAGTCAATGACCTTAGTCAATTATATCAATTAGCAATCAATCATCACTTATTTAAGATGGGGACACCACCATGTGCTTATTTTAAAAGGATAAAAGGAGCGATCATAATAGACGTCTCCAGAAGATAGTTTCTCAACCACTAAAGCTCCTGTAAGGCTCTTTCAGGTGAAGACTTTCTGTGTCTCGGAGATATTTTTACTAAAGCTTTACTCTAAACAATTTTAATTCATCTTCATTATGATTTGATTACGACTCTAGGAGCCAGCTAACTACCAGTTCCAGTACGACGTGTCGGCCCCCGAGTACGGGACTAGGTTCGGACACCAGGAGTCCAGGACTGGAGACTCCACCAGAGGGAGGTACTACGTGGACCTACCTGATGGGAGGACTCAGGTGGTGGACTACACCGCGGACCAGACTGGATACCATCCCAGGATATCCTACAACTAGACGGGGAGTCTGTAATGTTCTAGGTAGTTCAGGGTAGTACGTTTGTACCATGTAAATGTTCGTGTAGGATAGGTTTCACATTTTATTTTGAACTAGTAGCATTTCCTTAGCCTACTTAACTAAAGGGTGTAAGTTAAGAAAATGCGTTTCTTAGAATTTACTTTTCAAAAACTGAGGTTTGGCAGATAATAGTAAAATCGATGTTTTATAATCAGTAGTATTTTCTAAGGATAAACATGTTCTTTGTCTTACAATTATCTTTTGGATACTGGTGAAGACATCCTACATATGTCGGCCATTTAAAATAAATAAACTACAGAATAGTTGGATAAGACATTCGTAAAGTGAGCAATAACTAACTAAGTAATTTTTAACTTAGTTTTTTTACCTTGTTTAAATGTTATAATTATTCTGCCAGTCTACAATAAAATCTTCTTTTCAGATTGTCAGAGATCAATAGTAAAAGCTACAACTGAAATCAATAATTAATAGCAATACAATGTGTCAGTGGCTAAACCTAATTGCGATAATTTTAGTTCTACAATTAGCTAAACAAATGGAATGCATGGTTGGATTTATAGTCAAGTGGTTTTAAAAGTAACTAATTGAATTATTTTGAATGACGATTTAAAGTTTAAAATTAATATGTATTTTTAAATGTCAACAGAGCTAATACAAGCATTGTGCTTTTTATTGCAGACCAATTAATATTTTCTTCCCAAAGCTCTTTCCTGGGATCAGAGCTGAAGCTCGTTATCGAAGTTCATGATAGACTATCTGTTTTAATTTATAATAAAACACTTTTTACAAACACTATTATGTTTTCATAATAAGTCATTATGAGTCAAATATATTTTTAAATACATAATACAGTATTGCTTTTTTGTATTAATTGGAAACTTGCAACACAATATGTAAAGAAAGTGATTTTGAAAATGAACTTAAGATATAAGCCTGATGAAAACACATAGTAGTTAAAAAGATATTAGTGTGTTCACAACTTTACAGTATCTCGATTGTAATGTAAATAAATAATTTCAAAATACTGTATGTTTTTTTATACTTTTTCCTCCTATGTGGCTTCTTAATTCGTAAACGTTTGTTGTTTTATTCACACACAAGTAATGAATGTGGGAAATAAAACGTAAGAGTAAGTGTAAGTTTAATTAGTGGGAATGGTAAGGAAAGTAAGTAAAGCTAATTAATTAACAGAAAAATCTTTTGTGAGAAATTACTTTCGTTTGTTATATTTTACTGGTTGTAGTTTTGAGTGGGCATTTTCCTCGCCAATAGTGAAAATTCTCACATTTTCAATCTCGAGACTGAGTGATTTTCAATTTGCCTGATTAAGTTTTCACTTAAACATTAAAAAATAATATTGCCCAGTTCAATAATTTTTGGCTCCAACGAGTATTAAGGTTTGCTGTTATACGGGGTAGGGAAAAATGCCATTTGACCAAATGTTGATAGTACAGGATGAAATACATGAACTTGCCAAATGTAATAAACATATTTACCAGGCAAATAAAAGAAAATTAGAATTATAAACAAGCAAACTATAGCAGCTTTCTTTTTCCCCACATACAATTTTTGAATTAAAAGTTTTTTCGAATTATTATCATAAATTCTTCATTAACACATACGAACAATTAAAAAAGTTAAAAAAACTGTTGAATATACATAGAAATGTTTGGAGATCAAGACACTTTGGTTAACTTTATCCATCCTGACCATAAAACCACCACTTGTCGAATGTTGAACAGGAGTTGGGTCAAAGTTAGAAGCCCTGCAAATGAACATCTGAAAAAATTTCACTTTGGAAAGATGGAAATCGAGATTTGCATATAAGGATTTGAGGAATTAGGATGGTAACACAAAATACAACAGGGAATAGAGAAAGCGAGAGGTTAGGTCACTGGTTAGTTTTGTTCAAGGAAAGACTCTAGGCTAGGATTTTGATTTGTAGAATTAAGGGGGATGCTAACTCACCTTAGAATAAGTACAGGTTTGCCACAGAACACAAAAAATAAACCAAAACACACAATATTTCGTCCCCTGGAGGACTTTGTAAACTGTAGAGGAAGACAAAGAAAAGTCTTTTTTACACTTGGAGACGAAATATTGTGCGTTTTTGTTTCTACTTGTTCACTATGCACACACGGCTAACAGAGTTCTTTGCTGGCTGATGATAAAATCGTCCGAGATTAAGCAGCATGTTTTGAAACTTGCAAAAGGAAACTAGAATGGAATGTAAAATAATCGTAATCTTAAGTGGGTCAATTGGACACTCCAATCATAATCACACCCAATAGGTGAATTGTCTATAAAAAACAGCTTTTAAGGTATGAAACACTCAATATAAGTGTGAATTCTATATTTAGATTTCAGTCTCCTGGCCCTTAATGGCAGTTCTACAAACACGAATTTAACTTTTAGACTCACATTATAGCGTAATGCATGAAAATAAATATTAAATAACAAAATTAACTTTACTTTACAGTTCTCTAGAGTCTAATATCAATTTAAAAAACCTTTAACGAAATATGCAAGTATAAGAAAATAAATCTAGGAACTCACCTCTTTTATCTGAATAACCATGAGCTCTTATTTGGTGATCAGACTAGTTTTGTAATAATTATACATTATACTTGTTATCACTCTTCAATACTAAGCTAAATTATACAAAAAAACTTTAAAATAGGAGTTGTTTCTTTGTTTCAAAGTTCATTTTTGGTAATGTTAGTTTTATGGTGTTGGAGGGACAATTGCGGACATGTATATCAACAAATGCCATAGGAATAATATGAAAATCTAAATACATTACCACCATGAATTGACATACCTGTATTTCTTACAGTATTAATTTTGGTTATCGATCAATCTTTAACTACTCTCATTACAGAAGTATATTTTAAGCTGATGATACCAGATCAAGGGTAAACTTATGGTTCAGAGGCAGTTTACTGTTTTCTTTTATTTCTTAGATATATGTAAATGAGAAGATTGGACACATTTTATGAGTGAGAGTTTTGGCTACTGATGGAATTATACGTTCTATTCCTATTCTTTAGTTGTAGCGTTGCACCAGTTTAAAAATAACAATGAAGATTGTTGAATTAAGCCTCCGACAGCGTGCACTGATGTAAACTACTAACTTCTGTAAAAGATACAATTCCTTACCGAACCAACCCGACAAGTCAACTCATTGTAAACAATAGCATCTTCAATATCCCATAAACTATCCCTGGAATAAAAACTAAGCGAGGTAATATAATTTTAGAGCGTAGCATAATCTCAAAGTAGCTAATTTAACGATGATCTTTCAATAAAAGGTTGGCTACAGACATTGACTATTGGATACTGAAGTAGACGCCATCTATATAGACCAGCTGTAACAAATTTTTTGTTACAAAAGAACGCAGTTGTGGGAGCCAGTCACAGAATGTGCTGGTGACTAAAACTCTATTTTCTACCTTATTTTTTGTTGCTGGCCAAGTTGATGGGTTATAACAGTTGCTATAGCTCACAATAAGTCATTCCATTAGTTTGATTGTGTATTCGACAGAAATCAGTAATTTAGACTAGCACAATCTGTCGGTGGCTCACATCAACCATGACGATTTTGGTAAAAAAAAACTGGCTACAAATGTAACATGAGGATGAAATGTCTAGTTGTATTAATATTCAAAGCTACAGCTGATCAAATGCCGAAAAGGAAACTATATAATGTATTATAATAAAATAAAACACAATAAACAGTCAAATTGAGTTTGCATTCTTGTAGCTTTGCAACCAATCACAAGCGTGAGTTAACCAAGAGTAAATGCTGATATGTTGAATGAAAGGACTGTTGTAAGTAGCCGGCATCATGACGATCAAGTACTGTTATATAACATTCAAACCTCTCTGTAGAGATCAAGGAGTATAAAACCCCGAAGACAGAACCATCTTCTATCAGACACACCTTCAGCAACATGAGGGTAAGTTCCTATTACTTCAACGCAGTAGGGGTTAAGCATTGTTTAAATAATATTTTTTATTTCATAACGTATGTAAATAAAAAAAATCTTTATGAAACACCTTTTTTATCTAAGGTTACGATAGTTCGTAAAAAGAGGCTATCTACGTCAGAGGAAAGAAAAGGTTGCAAAGATTTAGATAAACTAATTTTGGAAAGTCCTGGAAACTGATATTGTGTAGTTTTTTTTATAACATATAATGAGTATCATGTTCGTTCAATTTTTTCAATAGAGATTTTAATTACCACCAATACGTTAGTTTCTCTTGCTACTTAGATTTTGCTGTCAAATAGTCATTCCTTTACACACAGTTATTTTACTGCCAGTAAAACTATATATGAGAGATCTAATTGTTCTCGATATCTTTGATAAAAATGGGACAAGTAAGGGTTTTTTATGAAAATTCTGTCTATGTTGGTCAGTGATATCAATTAATTATTTCTTTAAAACTTTAGCAGAAAATACCGACCAGAAAATTGTAAAATAATTCAATTAGAGGAAAATTAGTATGCGCAATAATATTAATATAGAGTACTGAGGAATCAGAATAAGCTATCTAATCTATTTACAGTTCTCAAGAAGGACACTATTTAAATCTTCAGGAAAGTCCATACTTTTTCATTATTCGAAATTGAGCCCAAAATGTACTTGGACTTGTCTATGAAATAGTCTTGTCTATGAAAACAGCTGATAAAAAGCCACACAGATAATAATTCAAACTAACTCCCTTTATTTTGTAAGATAACATTTTAATTTGTTTGCAGCACTTTGCGGTAGTATTGGTATTTGTGGTTCTTGCCACGGCAGAACCCCCAATAGAACCTCAGCAAGCAGACAGCGCCTTATCATCACGATATGGTGCCCCTGCCCCACAATATGGTGCCCCTGCCCCGCAATATGGTGCCCCCAACGGTGGTGCCCCTGCCCCTCAATATGGTGCTCCCAAAAGTGGCGCGTTTCATGGTGGCGTCAGGCCAAATC